GTAAATAAGTGGCTTATGTTCTACACCAAGGTAGTGGTGGAACTGGAACTAGTATTTGAGCTTCTAGGGTTAGCCTGGTGTACTTTCCCATGTCCATCACAGTTTGATGAAACCAGCGGCATCCCATCATCAACTCTGTGGAACACTGAAGTCCTCAAATAATCCAGCCACTTTTAAATTATGATAAACTTTTCTAGAGGTAAATGGTGTGTAACAACAAGAACTCTGTCACAGGAAGTTGTTTAAAATGTTATATGCTGAACTTCTTTCTCCCCCTCTTCCAATCTTCCAGAATAGAATTTTTTCCTCTTTCCGTTTTAGATAGGGCCAATTGTTCCCCTGGCTTTTGACTGAGAATTTCCACTCCCATTCTGGATTTAGGAGTATATACTCAAATTAAAGGACTTTAGTGTGATAAGAAAACAGTCACTTTGAAATCCAGGAACTTATTAACCTAAGCACATTCCAGCTGAATCAGCTGTTGGAAGCTCCTTCTGAGAAAGGTTATGCCAGTTTATGTTATTTCTTTCCCTTCCTAATCCAGTTCAAAACACAGTCCTATTTCCGTTTTGCAGAAGAACATGTGCCACTCCATTGGAATGTTTTTGAGTTGGAAATTTCTGCCCTCCAGAAGATTAGAACGCCTCAAGTTGGTGCTCACCACTGTTCCATTCGGTTTAGCTACTTTATTTAAAACACAAAGGATCCAGTGGCAGAGATCTCTTTGAAGACCTAAGTGTTTGGTTTCCTAATTATGAACCAATTCTGTGTGTAGGTAATAATAATTCCTTCCCAGTTCGCCTCTTGAGTCCTATGTATGATTTCTAAAAAGATATAATACTAGTAATAATAATCACTATGATAACAATCTTAGTGACATTTGTCATCCGTTGAATTGCTTTAGTTGTTTGAAATGACGTATTTTATTTTGTTTCATTTACTATCTTTGTGAGGCAAGAAAATTTGGTGTCTCATTGAAACAAACACCTCTCCCCACCCAAACTAGGCCTTTTGCACATTTGGTAAAGATATACAGATGGCTACTTCACTGTGTTAGCATTTAATAGTTAGCATGTAAGAGGACTTCTTTACATGTTCCCTGTCGAACACATAAATAGTTGATTTAAAGAGCTTCAACCAGCCAGGTGTGGTGGTGCTCACCTGTAATCCCAGCAACTCAGGAAGTTTAGGCAGGAGGATCACAAGTTTGAGGTCAGCCTTAGCAACTTAGCAATACCATTTCAAAATAAAGAATAAAAAGGGCTGAGGATGTAGCTCAGTGGTAGAAAGCCCAGTACTGAAAAAATGAATAAATAAATAAAAATAAAGACTCTAAACCTGTTGAATGCTATGAGTTAATTTGTACTGTATAAAGGTGTGAATCTATGCAATAAATAAAGAGCTCTTTATCAAAGCAATCTTCTGAGATCTCATAATAATGGTGTTATATTGTCATGTGAAACGTGATCTGCTTAAAATTTTGGCAAAATAGAGATTCCACATGTCTTTGTATTAGAGTGCACCTGGATTGAATAAGTACCTCCGCAAGCAACTGCTCTCACCCCTTCAGGCTCCCATAGCCACATTCAGTCACTCTGGCCCCTTCTCTGTAGAATGGGGATATGATAAATAGGCTTGTTTCATGGTGGGGCTATAAAGGTGAAACACTGATATTTATAAAGTGCTTCGAACAGTTCTAGTATACAACAATTGTTCAGTATTGGCTCTTTTCATTAATATGTCAGTTTAAAAGGTTCTTATTTACTTTGCACTTCTTAGTAAAATAAATCCTCAAAGTTTTCTCATCCTTTGCATCTCATGTTTAAAAATGTCCTCGCTAAATGTGCATCTGGAAATTTAAAAAAAAAATTAATTACAATGATATTGATAAACAATGTGTTATTTAAATTATGTGGGTAACTGGCAAATATAAGAGAGTAATCAAAAAGCACTGAGTCAATGAAGAAATGAAATCAATTTCATCAGTAATGCAGACATGTCTCCACTTACTGCACTCATACACAGGTAATGGCCGTGTATTCACAATGCATTCCACATGACCCCCTTACTATGATGGTCCTCCTTTTACTGGTTTCCCTGAACCAGGGCCCATTTAGGCAAAGACTTCAACATTATTATTCTCTGTCTCTTCTTTCCAATCTTAGATTTTGACATTTATGCATTGGCTCTCCTTCAACCTTCCCCCAAATATTGAAGATTCTTTTGGGGCTAGAGACCTCCCAAAGAACAGTCTCTTCCTAAAACAGCCTCAGGAAGATTGGAGTCCTGGGCACAGGGCCATTGCTGGGCTTTTAAAACCATCCTGGAGGCTGGACGTGGTGGCACCCACCTGTAATCCCAGCAACTCAGGAGGCTGAGGCAGGAAGATCATAAATTGGAAGCCAGCCTCAACAAGTTAGCAAGATCCTAAGCAACTTTGACTCTGTTTCAAAATAAAAAGGACTGGGGATGTAGCTCAGTAGTAAAGCACCCCTAGGTTCAATCCCCAGTGCCAAAACCAAAAACCAAACAAATACCATCCAGGGGACTGCAATCATATTTCTGAGAGGGGATGAGCAGAGTATTCATGAGGCTGCTTCCTTTTTTATTCATTTAATCAATAAACATTTTTTGAGCCCCTATAATGTGCTAGACCTGGGTATTAGGTATTCAGAGAAGAAGCAGACACATAAGGGCCCTGTCCCCACAGAGCTTCCTTACTAAGGTTGGAGAAAATAAAAATAAGTCTAAATGCCTTACTAGACTTGACACAAAAAGAAAATCAAACCTTTCTTGTTATCATGAATGATGCTTGAGAAATGGTTACCCCACCCCTCAGAACATATCCCCAAGTTGCCCACTCACTGAGATGTCTGCATCTCGTTCTTAGGTTATCTGGAGCCCTGCTGAATTTACAAAGGGCTGTGCGGGACCATTTTGGTGTAAAATGCACCACTTTCCCTCCCACACCAACATCCGTTCCTTTGCCTTCCTTGGCCACCCTTATCTTTCTGCAGTTGTGCTAGATTCAAAAGTCACTAACCCTGTCTATGGCAAAGAAATAGCCCACTTCTGCTTCTGCCACCATAATAACAGAAAGGAGGCGACAGGAAGAGCGATGTGTCACCTACACAGGCTGGCACCTACCTCCCCTTAGAGCCGCCACTCAGTTCTTAGAGGGGTGCTGGTTGCATGAGGGCCCTCAGCACTCACCCTGCCTAGTTTCTTGCTAGAAAGCAGTACAAACCACAGGGAGGAATCACTGCTCAATAGGATTCTTTCCCAAAATGTACAATCTCAAGTTTAATTCCAAGAAAACATCTCACAGACCCAAATAAAGAAACTTGTGAAATATTTGACCAAAATATTTACAAGTATTTGATATTTCAAATATATCAAGGTCATGAAAGACAAGGAAAAAACTGAGAAAAAGTCACAGATTTAGGAAAACTTAAGAGACAGACGACAAAATGCAACGTGGAATCCTGGGTTGGATCTGAGAACAGATAAAGAGAAACGTGGGTGGAACCTGATTCAAAGTCTGTAGTATCGTGTTAATAGTATCATGCTAATATTAGCCTCTTGGTTTTGATCTTTGTGCTCTTTATGTAAGATATTAAATTAGGTAAGGTTGGGTGAAGACTAGGCAGAAACTTTCTGATTTGTTTTTGCAATTTATTGTGTAATTCTAACTTGACTCCATAATAAAAGGGTTTTCTAAAAAATCAAAGCAAAGCACTTCTTGTTCCCTTCTTTCTCCCTGTCACTCTTTATTGACTGCTTTAGGCCTCAAGATGAACAATAGATAGGACAGTGGTCTATAGTACTAGGGTGCACCAGTGATCAAAGAGACAAGATTCTGAGAGCCAAAGGCCACTGGCCTGTCACTAGTCTGGCTTTTAGATGAGTGGGCCAACCAACATTAGCCCTGGGCCTGAGCCCCCCTCTCAGCGGCCATCCAGGAGGACCTGGGTGAGGAGCGAGTATCTCCCCAGAGCCTGAAGTTCTGTTCCCAGCACCTGGGAAGGCTCAGGAGAGGCCAGTGCCCGTTAAATTCCCCTCAAAGCCACTGGACTTGCACCCAGCTTGCAGAGAGCAGGATCCAGTCTTGAATTATTCCTCTGGTCCTGGTTTCTTGTTCAGGCAGCCACCACGGGAGAAGAGGAAATTGAGGCGAAGCATCCTTAATACCCTAATTCTTTCAAAAGATGATTCAGGTTTTTGTAGCCTCATTAGCATTTGCCGATAAAAATACATTTTGAGTGGTATTATGCTAAGTAATTATTCTTACAAGATGTGAAATTAAACACATTTTACTCAGCATGAAATTATTCCTGCCATGTACCGAGTTGGGTGACAGCTTGAGAGTTTGGGTGGTGCATTGCAAAACAGGGAGACACCATCAATGTACTTAAAAAAAAAAAGCCAACCCCAAATATTCCACCAAAGGTAAGTCCTTGTAGCAAAATGATTTTGGCTGGATGAAATATTAAACCTGCTACTATAAATTTCACGCCTTGCATTCCTGAAGCAGATGCAGGGTGATGATGCCAAAAATTAATTGGAAATAATACGACTTGCCTTGTGTACTCTATCCAGTAGAGGGCATAGCAGATAAGCATTGTGTTCGTTGGCGACTTAGCAGCCACTGATAAGACTTGTTTGTAATTGCTTCTGTAAAGATATGTAGCAGCATGCTTGGATGCTTATTTACATTTAGGAATGTGGTTAGGAATAGAAGGTTTAGATTTATAACTTTGTTTTTGTCTGTCAATACATGGGAGACTTTCGGTTGTTGCAAGTATTATATTTACCAATGTGCAATGTTAAATTGCTGGATTTAATTGTTACAGTACAGTGAATTATTCTATTATTTCTTACTTTTTTTATCCTAAGGAAAATTCAAACTTTCCAGGCTTTAGGGCAGGATAAAATGGCTCTGAGCATGTCAGTGTCTCAAGAGCACATTATTTTCTTATTGGATTGTATTAACTTTACAGATGGAAATTTGAAGGAGAATTAGAAGGCTTAGAGATGGAAAATTTGGAGAAGAAAAGAATAATGTCTTAAGATTTCTGGAGGGGCTAACTGGTAAGTCATTTTGAAAGCTGCTGATGCTAATTCTCGTAGCAAAAGACATAGCAGACCCTAAAATGATCAGGAATGAGGCACAGAATTTCTAAGAAGGGAGTGAATCTTGTGTCACACTCAAAATTGCCAAAGGATTATTTGGTGCATGTACGTGCTCGCTCTCTCTCTCTCTCTCTCTCTCTCCCCCCCCTGCCCCCCACCACCCTTTTACAATTGGCACAGATTTTTCTTGACTACACTCCTAGTAGGGCAACTTTGCTCAACCTGGGAGAGGGTGTTTGGCCGTTCTGCTTAGTTTAAAAGATAAACACAGTTTCCAGTATCAGATGCACATATTTGTCCCTGAAGAGACAGCAACATGACATATATAAACAAACATTCATCCATAAGCACTGTAATTGCTTCAGGGAAACCTGGAAGCAGCGGTGGGGGGGGGGGGGCAACATAGTAAACCTAAGAATAATACTAATAAACCTAACAATAATACTAGAGAAAAAGATATAGGCCTCCTCCTGCCAGGGATCCTGTTTCCTGAGTATCAAATGGCTGGGGTGGGCGACCACAGGCTCTCTCGTCCAAGCTGTCTGATGAAACCCTGGGTAGGCTCCAGCCTGGTGGGCCCAGGTTCCCGGTTGTTGACACCCCCATAGTTTCCTCCTCTTCTTCTGGAGCTTTTCCCCACAACTTTGGATGCCTCTGCAGGATCCCCCAGTCAGAGGAGCCCCGTGGGGCATGAGCAGGTAAAGGAGCTTGCCACAGAGCCCGCTCCCAGGAGGGGAACTAGGACCACCCATCCTGGGTGATAGGAGACTCACTTTTCATGCTGCCCTTTTTTGCCATAAACAAGTTCTGCCCAATCTTAAAATAAATAGAATTGTACAGACAGTTATCTAACAGAACCGCAGATAGGTGTCTATAAAGATACGTAGTTTTTTTTTTCTTTCTTTTTAAACAAAGCAAATTATAGAGAAGCAGAACCTGAGCTAGTAGATAAGGAATTGTCCATTCCCAGACCTGCTCTGATTGTTCACCTTGCTCCTTGCCATTTGGATTACTTTCTCCTTCTTACGCTTTCCATGTAGAAATAATTATCCTTTCTCCCAGGGCTATGTGCTACTGTTGATCTGTTATCGTTTTCCCTTTGAGACTTGAGTTTGCTGTTTATTTTATACCATGTCTTTATGAATGGACTTCCGTGTGCTCATGTGTGTGTTTGGGTTGGAGTTAGGAGAAATAGGTGGTGATGGTGAAGGAAAAAGAGAACGAGAGAGAATGGGGAGAGGTCACTTGTCATCATAAAGGTTGTAGCAGGAGAATTCAGCCTGCAGGATTATCAGCACAGGTCTTAGGATGAGTGCAAGTTTAATGTGAAAGTTAGGGCCTCCAGAGCTCTGCTTTCCAATCACCCCTCAAAATCCTGTTGCTGTTACTATCACAGAAAGCTATATGTGCCCTCTGAATGGCAAAAGCCATGCTTGGGCTCCAAAAATTTGTAGCTGCCAAGAAAAAAATCTAAATCATGCCTCTCTTCTTAGAGAGTTGATTCTTGTTTTAAAATTATTCCAGTTTTTATTATTCGTTATTATTATTCATTACATTTATAGTTTGTAGATCATAATTTCATTGCATTCCAGCTAGTTGAAGCAGAAAGTGATGTATTGTGAGACATTAACTAACTGGCTGACAGAATTGCCAGGAGGGCTGAAGATAAGGGAGCTAGGTTTGGCCTTCCAAGGATGACTCTCAACTCAGCTCTGCAGAGCCCAGTCCCAGTGGAGCTGTGGCCTTCTACAGTCAGGGAATTCCCTCATAAAATGGGAAGCTACTTCTCCTGCCCCAACACCAGAACCATGACACCACTGCCACCCCTGGGAAGTTACCTCCGTCAGGAAATTGCTGCCACTGCTACAACCCACTGCCCTCTAGAATTCATACCACCAAGATGGCTGATCCATGCTTGCCTTTCAACATTATGCAGCTGGTGATCAGAGACAGGGAAACCAAATGGCTCCAGCCATGCTTGCCAGCAAAGAGAACAGGCACACGAGCTGTGTCCCCTGCTGCCTTCCACATCCCTCAGGGGTGCGGCTGAAGGCTGAGCCATGCTGACATCCGAACCCTCACTGCAAGGGTGTCTGGGATGAACAATTTTAAGTTTCCAACCTCTGCAATACAGAGAGCATTCTAAAAGGTGATTGGATTAAATGCTCTGCAAACAATTATGGATATGAAAATGCACTTGTCTTGAAAAGGCATATTTACAAACTGTATGCAAGAGCAAAAAATTGTTTCTTTTGGAACCCAAACAAATGTGCATTCAAAAATAGATAAATTAATAATGCAGGATTGTTCCAACAAGGGTTTATAGGTACTAAGATCAGCACAAAATAAAGGGAGATGAGAATTCAATATTTCATATATTTTCAACACAATTGTATCTATTTATGTGATGTCCAGAGCATGTTCATCCATATATCAATTAGGACATGGAGAAGAGCAAGACAGCCCATTTCACCCACTAATGGCCCAAAAGCTGAGGGACTGCCCTGCTCTGAAGAGTAGAACTGAGAAGGGAAACTCTCATATATCGTCCATGGACTGGGTCAGAGATGTGAGCAAAGTTATGAGGGGTGGTGCACGCCAGTAATCCCAGTGACTCGGGAAGCTAAGGCAGGGGGATTGCAAGTTTGAGGCCAGCCTCATCAACTTAGCAAGATCCTGTCTCAAACAATCAAACAAACAAGACTGAGGTTGTAGCTCAGTGGTAAAGTAGCCCTGGGTTCAATCCCCAGTATCTAAATAAATACATAAATAAAAGCTGGACATGGTGGCACACATGTAATCTCAGTGGCTTGGGAGGCTGAGAAAGGAGAATCACAAAGTTTGATTCCAGCCTCAGCAACTTAGCAAGATACTAAGCAATTTAGTGAGACAGTGTCTTGTAATAATAATAATAGGAGCTGGGGATGCAACTCATTGCTAAAGTGTCTCTAGATTCAATTCCTACTTATAAGGGGACTAAAAACAAGAAAAGAAGGAAGGGAGGGAAAGAGGGAGGAAAGAAGGGAGGGCGGTGGATGTAGAGTGTTCATGGCCAGTTGGGAAAATTGGATCTGCATCCAGGAACAGATGGAACCAACATGCTTCTGAAAAAATATGAAGGCTTTCATCCAGGGAAGAAACACAAAAGGGAAACCAGAGCATCTTCTGCCTCTTCCATCATTTGAGAGGCCATCCTGGGACACCTGGATGTGAGGGCGAGCACATCCTTAGGACGCTGCTAAGACAGAGTAGGAATTGTTGACACTGGGGAAAAACTGTGTATGCACAGGAAAAGAAAAGCCTTAAAAAAGAATCTCTGGGAACTCAAAACATCAAATGACCCAAAAGACCATAAGGCACACTCCTCTGAGGCTTTCCAAAGCTGGAAGGCTGCTCATGGAGAACAGCATTCCTTCCTGGGCAAGCCTTCTTTGGGAGGCTGAGACAGGAGGATTGCAAGTTCAAGGCCAGCCTCAGCAACTTAGCAAGGCCCCAGGTAACTTAGCAAGACCCTGTCTCAAAATAAAAAATAAAGGACTGAAGATGTGGCTCAGTGGTTAAGTGCCCCTGAGTTTAATCCCCAGTACCCCAAAAAGAAAAAGAGAGAGAAAACAGGATTCCAGAAACCACAGATGGCAGAAGGGACAGAAGGTGCTCAGGAGCAGAAAGACAGCAGAGATGATGAAGAGGGACTCCTCACAAAGCCTCACACAACTGTGAAGAAGATTCTGAAGTCCACCTGAGAACCAAAACTTGAACCAGGAGCTCCTGCAGAGCTCCGTCCCTTTGTGCCTTGACGGGGAGCAGAGCTTCGAGTTGTCTATGACCTGTAGCACAGATGTGCACTGTTCTAATCTTTTTACTCACTTCTTATTAAGCATCTCCTACGTGTTAGGTAACACAATGACATAGCTCTGGTTCTTTAGGGGGTTATAGTTTTATGAAGGCCTCAGACAAGTGAAGAAGCAAATACATTGTAACAAGGGCAACGTAGAGGGTTATCCAGGACATCTGCCCAGAGTCAAGGTGGGGGGATCAAAGGCCAGGAGGAGGAAGGGAAGAGGAAAGCCATTATCATGACGTTTCTCCTCTTGCCAAGCGCTGCCTGTGAGATGAAGCCCAGAGTCCTTGGCCAGGTATCCAAGGCCTCCAAACCCAACCTCTCCAGTACCTTCCCATCTCTCTCCAAGATGTGCTGTCCATTCTGGTCAGTGTATTCTTCTACTCACCCTCCCCCAAAACTCTTTCCTGGACCTTCTATTGTCCCTGCCGTAACTACTCCATGACTTCCCTAAAGTTTCTTAGGCTTTCGTGAATTCATCCCAAACCCCTCTAGCTCCTATAATGAAATATCAATGGAGTGGTTTATACCACCTTTAAAACTTAGCTATATAGTAACTTGAACTTTAGTGACTTCAGTGATGAGGCCCTAGATCAGAAGCAGCAGACGCTTAGTGGGAATCTGGCAGCATCCCGTCCTTGGGGAGTTTCCAGTTTAATGCTGGAACCCGGTGGATCAACGCAAAGTCACAATGCAGACTTTTGTAGGCTACCCTGGGGCCAAGCATGTGATACCATCAGAGTCCGAAGGAGAGCACGGTGGCAGTGGCAGATTTAGATGGAATAGAGGACTTCCTGGGAAGGTGGCACCTGCAAGCTAATCAGTGCAGAGAGAACTCCATGATCAAAGATGCCAGGCGCGGAGACAGGAAGGAAGGTGGTGTCCCTGGGGAGCAGCTGTAGGCTGGTGGCCGATACACAGGAGCAAAGGCTGTGGTAACGAGTGTGGGCTGGCGGGCTGTGGCCATCTGCAGAAGGACCTTGTGTGCCACACTTGGAATTTGAACTGTATGAGAGGAGGCCAGCCAGAGAACATGCAGGGAGGGGTGAGGCCTCTCCTTTATGTTTGTACTTGGTGTTACTCAAGGTGGTATTTGGCCTTCAAACAGCAGCCAAAT